GGGCCGTGTTGCAGGGCGGGGCGAGGGACGTGTGACGCCTCTGGTGCTCCCCTGACCGGTGGTCCCCGCGCACCCACGAATGGCCCCAGCCCAAAGCCGGCCCTTGCCCATCGGCCCAGCCCCACCCTCCCCGACCATCGTATCCGTGGGGGCTCTTCGCCTCTAGAGCTGCTCGGGTCGCTCCGCATCTCGGTCTGCGGAGCCCGCATCTCCCGCGCCCGGCGCTGGGGATTGCCCCTTTTTAGCAGCTGCCCCGGACCGGGGGCTCCACACAGTTCCTGGGGCGGAAGGTGCTGCGCTGGGACCCTGCTGGGAGGGCAGCCTGATGGGGCGGCCGCCTGTCCCTCAGCCCCGGCCCGCCGGCTCACAGTGAGGCCTGTTCCCAGGAGCATGCGGAGGTGGCCCCGCCAGCTCTCCCGGACATGGAGGAGTTCCGGCTCGCCTACAGCCGCCTATGCAAGGAGAGTGGGGCTGAGCCCCAGGAGGCCGTGCTGCAGCAGCTGCACCAGCTCCCGACGGGCCGACTGGACCTGGCCACGCGGAGCCTAACGGTGGACACCTGCAGGGCCCTGGGCAAGCTGCTGCTGAAGGAGGCACTGCTGACGGAGCTGGTGCTAAGTGACTGCATGCTGAGTGAGGAAGGTGGGCAGGGTCCTTAGCTGCATATACCGGTGGTGGCCACAGGCAGCCTGATCTCTTCCTCTCCAGGCTCCCCTCTTTCTGTATCATAGCAAAGTGAGCAGTAGTACCCCTTCCTGAAACCTCAGAGCAGAGGGCAGCTTCTCTTTACGTCAGAGAAGAAGCGGTAGCATGCTCTGACATGTGGTTCCCTGTGTGCTCATGAGTGTGAGTGCTCAGTGGCCTGGCTTGGTGCCTGGAAGGGGCTGCAGGTGTTTCCAGTGTAACTTCACAGGGAGTGGGAGACTTATTTCCAATGTGAGCCTAGACAAGTGGACCAGGACAGTCATCCGTCCCCTAGGTCTGGGGTGTTGCCCTGAGATGGGGTCCCCAGGGAGGGGCTTGGGACCAGAAGGGGCAAGAGTGACTACTTTCCTTCCTTACAACAGGGGCTACACTGCTGCTTCAGGGGCTGTGCACCAACACTGTGGTGCGGTCTGTGGATCTAAAGGTGAGCATACCTGCACTCTGAGTATACCATCCAAGGACAGGAGTAGAGAGGGAAGACGCCAGGTCCCAGGGGTGTGGGGTCTGGACAGCGACTGGAAACTGTGTCTGTAAGTGCTCTTGGCACATAGGACCCCTGAGTTGCTTTCTGATGGTCTCATGGGTATGTGAGTAGCTCAAGGACAGAATGTCCACAGAAACAAACTGAGTGAGCCAGTCCCAGGAAGCCCACTAAAGCCAGGTAGACTGGGGTCTGAAAGAAGCTGCACCTCCGCCCAGAGCTTACCTCCCTGGACTTGTCCACTGCCTGACCAATGGGAGTGACTGACTGAACTGTTCCTGTCCTAGGGCAATAACCTTCGAGCCGCAGGGGCTGAGGCTCTAGGAAAACTCCTTCGACAGAACAAGTCCATTCAGAGGTAGGCCAAGGCTAGCTCCTCCGCCATGACCCCCACCCTCACCCCTAGCCTCCTCTCTCTGTAGCTTAGGGCTGGCCCCAGAGGACACGGTCCTGCAACCCGAGAGTTCACTTTAACATCTTTTGGCAGGGAGTTGCCCAAATTTTTCATCTGTTGGCAGGGAGTCAGTGGGTATAAATTAGCCATGAGGCTCTAGCCTTTGCTAGAGATCCCAAGCCCACACCCCATCTCCAGCCCTGGACCCCAAGGTGAGCACTGGCACCTGCCCTTCCTGCAGCCTCACTCTGGAGTGGAACAATCTGGGCACCTGGGAAGACGCCTTTGCCACTTTCTGCTTGGGCCTGGCAGCCAACAGCGCCCTCCAGTCTCTGGACCTCCGCAACAATCAGATCAGCCACAAGGGGGCGGAAGAGCTAGCCTTGGCCCTGAAGGGCAATACCACCCTCCAGCAGCTGGGTGAGGTCTCCTGAGGGGCCGTTCCCAGGCAGGACCTCAGGTGTCTTGGGCTCCCAATCTCAGCGAACAGAGAGGGGAAGGGGCTGTGCAATTACTCTGTGGATGACCACAGGCAGTGCCCCTAAAGAAGCATGCTGGGCTTGGCCAGCTGCCCCTCCACCAGATGCCTTCGCATCTGGTGAAAACAGGTTTCCTTCCAGACCTGCGCTGGAATAACATTGGCCTCCTGGGGGGCCGGGCCCTTGTGAACTGTCTCCCCAGCAACAGAACCCTGTGGAGGCTGGACCTGGCTGGGAACAACGTGCCCGGAGATGTCCTCAGAGCCGTGGGTACGGAGAAGGGGCTGCTGGTTGCTTGCCCTTCCACTGTGGGAGGGGTGGCTTGGGGCTCAGAACTGGAGGCTTGTTGTAAGAGTAGCCTCAGTTGAGGATTGAGCAAGCGGCAGGAACAGCAGGGCTGTGGGCACTTGCTTGGTGCTCACTGCAGCGGACACTGTCTGAGGCTTCTCCTATGTGTTCACTCAGTTCATGGACCTGTGTCATGGGGGTCCACCGTTTCACAGATGGCGAAGCTGAGGTCACGTGTCTCAGGGCCCTTGTCCTGATGGCTGATTTGTGGGGTGAAACGTTCTCACAGCGTCGCCTCCCAAGTGACTAGCTTCTTGGCAGAGAAGGGCTGGCCATTGGCCGCAAAGCCCCCCAGTGGGTAACACCGTCCCTCTTGACAGAGCAAGCCATGGACCACAGCCAAGAGAGGCACACTACCCTCCGGGAGAATCAGGCCCGCACCCATGTCCTCAGCAAGGAGGTGCAGCACCTCCGAGAGGAGAAGTCCAAGCAGGTGAGGAGGGAGCCTTGGAGCTTGCTCCCCCTGAAGGGCCTGGCCGCCTCCCCTCCCTCACTTCGTGGTGCGCCCACCTTCCCTTCCTCTGGGTTCTGGAGCTTCTCTGAGCAGCCAAGAACTAGGAACAAGCAGTGGCCTCCTGGTCTGACCACCTATGGGCGGGCTTCCTCAGAGCTGGCACCTGAGCCCCCGGGCCTTCCTCTGCGGATGCAGTTCTCCCTCTGAATGAGAGACAGGGCTGCAAGGCAGAGTCCTTCTAGGCCATGCTGTGTAGGTGGGCATCTGCACTCCTTTCCCTGAGAAGGCAGGGCAGGCAAGCTCGACCCTGATAGGACCTCTGGCTGGCTCTGTCCCCAGTTTCTGGACTTGATGGAGACAATTGATAAGCAGCGAGAAGAGATGGCCAAGAGCAGCAGGTCAGTGGGCCAGGGCGGCAGGAGTCTGCATAAGGAATGGCAACTGTTACCAAGGCCAACAGTGGTCTGGGAGAGCTCTAGGGTTTGGGTTTCTGAACCTTCCTCTCTGCCCACAGGGCATCAGCAGTACGCTTGGGGCAGCTTCAGGAAGCTCTGAATGAGAGGCACTCCATCATCAATGCCCTCAAGGCCAAGTAAGCAGGGGAGAGGGGCAGCTTCAGAACACTTTAGAGATGTGCCCACCGGGTAGGGGAAGGTGGTCCAGAAACCCCTGTGTACAAAACAGAGGTGGAAAATGGGGTGGGACTGGGGTAGTAACCCAGGAAGGCTTCCTAGAAGAGGCAGGTACTAGCTGGGATTCCAATAGGGGCCTGGCAACAGTGAGAACAGCGAGGGCTTCTGCTGGAGTGAGATGGGCCGGCCCCTCCTCTCTGCAGGCTGCAGATGACCGAGGCCGCCTTGGCTCTGTCGGAACAGAAGGTTCAGGACCTGGGGGAGCTTCTGGCCGCAGCAGAGCAGGAGAAGCTGAACCTGTCACAGCGACAGGCCAAGGAGCGCAAGCTGGAGCAGCAGGTGGTGGGGCAGGGCTTGTGCAGGTGCGGGCTGGGCAGTGCATGGCAGCTGGGTGACCCATGTCCTGTTTCATTCTCAGGAAGCTGCAGAGCGAGAGGCTAAGCTCCTCAGAGACGTGTCTGCTGTCAATGAGAAGAACCTGCTTCTGCGAAACCAGGTGGGGTATGGGCTTGGGAGCCAGGGTGGGCCGCAGGGCTGGGCCACAGCTTCCCCATAGTCCTGCCTTCCAGGTGGACGAGTTGGAGAGAAAGATGAAGTCTCAGCAGGAGCAGCTGTTCCAGGCCAGGCAGGAGCTGACCAACACATCAGCTGAGCTGAAGATGCGGGCTGTGCAGGCTGAGGGTAGGCGTACACACGGAGAAGCCTGGGGATGGGGAACCCAGGGACAGGGCCCCAGAGCACACTCACCTATGCTCTGCCCCACCGGCCTTCCAGAGCATCTGGACTTGGAGAAAAGAAGGTCCAGACAGACCCTGGAGGACTTGGAAAACCTGCGCTGCAAAGAGGTGCCCCCTTAGTTGACTGCCTCTGGCCCTTCCCAGCCTCCACCTGGTGCCTGTAACTGACCTGGGCGTGATGTGGATATCTCTAAACCACATCTCGGGTGGAGGCTTCTGTCACCAGCCCTGGGTCACTGGGTAGCAGTTCTTGGCCAGCTGTAGCAGATGTTATCCCTGGGACCTCCTACCAGGGCTGGGAAGGCACCTGACCAAACTACAGCCACAGCCAGAACTGTGCTCCCTGCCCTTGAAGATGTGCCCAACCTCACCCAGTCAGGGTTCACATCTTGGGGTACCACAGCTGGGACGTGCTTTGTCTTTGGCTCTTGCTGGGCCACTTGAGGCAGACTTTTCTCAGAAGGAACAGGGTCCCCAAGAGACACCTGCCCTCCATGGTGGGGATTCCATGGGGGAGGGTGGGGAGTCTTCCCTTCCAGACCTGCTCCCAACCCCCACAACTGGGCAGGTGGAACACATGACTCGTCACCTGGAAGAGAGTGAGAGGGCCATGCAGGAGAGGGTGCAGAGGCTGGAGGCCGTGCGGCTGTCCCTGGAGGAGGTGAGGACACCTGCTGGGGCCCAGCTGTGCTTCTGTACTTTAGTCCTGGGGCGAGCGGTGCGGCAGCCCCTGGGTTTCCAGCCTCGGGACCCTGGGGCACCCTTCCTGCTCGCAGAGCCTGATCAGGCCCCACCCTGGGACCCCATCTGCCAGTGTCCCTGAGAGGCCAGAGGGACTGAGCGTGGCATTTGAGCTCCATGGCCATGGAAGCCCTGTTCAGTGAGTGAGGCAGCACAGGCAGCCTCGTGGCCTCTAGGAGGCAGGTGGAGGGGGGTCCTGTTGGCCTGGTGGCTGGGGGTGGGCAGAGGGGACGGGGCAGGAGGACAGACTGGCTGGTGCCTGCCTGCGATGCAGGAGCTGAGCCGAGTGAAGGCAACGGCACTTAGCGAGCGTGGCCAGGCCGAGGAGGAGCTCATCAAAGCCAAGAGCCAGGCCCGCCTGGAGGAGGTGAGCCCTGGCAACAGCTGCCTGAGCTGGCAGCCCACAGAGCTGTAGTGGATCAGACGAGGGCTGTTGGCTCCAAAGCTGGAGCTCGGAAGGGGAAGACAGTGGGAGGGGACTGTGGGGGCGGGGTGGGGAAGGGATCTGATAGGTGCCAAGTGGGCCCCCAAGCAAACAGCCACTGTTTAACTGGTCTCAGCTTTGGATCCAGGCTTGAGATGGGTAGAGGGGTTTGGCCCATCCTTGCAGCCTGTGACTGCATAGATAGATGGAGGGAGGACCAGAGGTCAGTGAACAAGAGGGGTGGAGTGTCCTGAGAGGTGGAAGAAGGGAGCCCAGAGGGGATGATGCATCAGTAGGTGGCGTGAGCTGAGAATATTCAGAACAGACAAGAAATAGCTGGAGCGTGAAGTTGATCGCAGTCTCGGGCCCTGCTGAGGGGGTGGGTCATGCCCCACGCAGACAGTCCCCCACGGGAGCTCAGGCGAGATCTCGAGCCTGAGGGCTCTTGCACCACAGCAACAGCGACTGGCTCACCTGGAGGATAAGCTGCGGTTGCTGGCCCAGGCGCGTGACGCGGCGCAGAGCGCCTGCCTACAGCAGAAGCAGGCAGTGGTGGAGGCACAGGCCAAGGCTGGCCAGCTCAGCCTGCAGGTGGAGGGCCTGCGGCGGCGCCTGGGGGACTTGCAGCAGGTAGCTGTGGCTTCGGGCCTGGGGGTCTTGGGGGCCCAGCTCCACCACCCCACCGCCTCACCCCCAATGCCTGGCAGGACCTGAGCAACAAGGACCAGGAAAAGGTGGCCGAGGTGAGCAGGGTGCGTGTGGAGCTGCAGGAGCAGAACGGACGGCTGCAGGCAGAGCTGGCGGCCCAGGAGGCAATGAGGGAGAAGGTGGCGGCCGTGGAGCGCCAGATGAAAGGTGAGCCGTGCTTCGCCCTCCCGGTGTCCACGTGGTGGGACGTGGGGCTGGACAGAGTGCGGTTTCCGCTCGGACGGAAGCTGGCTGGTCGCGTTTGCCGGCAGGGCCAGTGCAACCATGCGCTCTGGCCGCGCCCCCCTCACCGCCTTTCTCGCCTTGCAGCGATGGCGAGTGACCACCGGGAGGCGCTGCTGGACAGGGAGAGCGAGAACGCTTCCCTCAGGGAGAAGCTGCGGCTCAAGGAGGCGGAGATCACCCGCATCCGGGACGAGGAGGCCCAGAGGGCGAGCTTCCTGCAAAACGCGGTCCTGGCATATGTGCAGGGCTCTCCAGTGAGGGCCCTGAACCCCCCAAAGTGACGGGAGGCCGGGTGGGGCCGGAGCAGCAGGAGTGCCTCCGACAGTGGACCGATGGGCTGCGTCCCGGTGCCATCCTGTCCTCGGGGGCTGGGCCGTCGGGTCCATGCATGGAGAGCACCTAAGCTGGGGACAGGACAGCCAAGGTGAAGGTGCTGCGACGAGCGCGTCCTCCTGGCTGCGGTGGGATGCCGCAGCGCTCTGTCAGGGTGCGCAGCGCGCGCCCAGAAGAGGATCTTCCCTGCTCCTTCTCCGTGCCAATCACAAAGAATGACCCGCCTTAGAGGCAGTACCATGCTGGAGGGACACGCTGAGGAACGCTCAGCTCTCCCAGTGTGTGTCCTGCCCTCACCTTGTACAGCGTAAGCGCCTTTTACTCGCAGACGCTGCGGGCTGCCCGCGCACGTGCGAGCTTGAAAATACAGTGCTTTTACACTTTATGATACATTTTGGTCCCACCTCTTCGACCCCGCCTCTGCGCCACACCCTCCCCAATGGCAGGAGCCACATGGGGCGGCCCGTCTCGGGGGGCTCTGGTGTCTGCAAACCCAAGTTTTCACTAGCTGTCTCCCGGCTGCAGGGTGGGCGGGCTTCCCTGCAGAACGCGACGCGCACATAACCCGTCCCGCGCGTGTCTGGGTCGACGGGCGGAAGCGATCGCAGGGTCTCCTGTGCGCTTGGGTGCACAACCCGAACCCGAGGGCGCGCCCGGCTTTAGGGACAGGCTACAGGCGGCGCACGTCGCGTGCCCAGCAAGCTCCGCCACGGCTCGGGCGGCCCCGCCCCCCAGCC